GGGGGGGGCGGGGGGGCTGGGGGGCACCCTGGGGCGGGGCGGGTGGCGATGAGCAGGATGCGGCCCTGGCAACCCGTTGCCATGGGGACGGCGGGTGGCCCGGATGGCGGCGGTGGCCCCGGCTGTGGGTACCGGTGACATCCCCCCCCCCAACAACAACCGTCACTGTCACCATCGGGCCACCCGGGCAGGACCTGGGGGGGGGTCTCCCCCTGCCCCCCCCCCAGCCCATCCAGCACCTGGGTGGCACCGTGCGGGGTGATGCCACCCTGGGGGCACCCGGGGACCTGCCCCCCCCAGCATGGGGACAGTGCCCCCCCCATACACACACCCTGGGTCACCCCTTGGATCCCAGTGTTGGGATGGGGGGGCGCAGCGGGGGGGGGGACATGGTGGGGGGGAACGACATCGCGTTGCCATGGGCAACCAAACCGGGACGGATTTGGGGGGGGGATGGGAAGGGAGCACAACCCCCCCCCCCCAACACATCCACTAAGGGGGGGGACTCTCAGGAGCTGGGGAGCCCCCCCCCCGACCGGGCTCTATAGGGCCTGGGAGCGTAGGGAGGGACAGGGCGTTATATAAGGACCCAAGGCTCTATAAGGACTAGGTGGGGGGGGGGCACTGGATGATGGGGGGGGGGTCTAGAAGGTCTGGGGGGAGATAAGGACAGAGGGGATCAGAGGATCTGCAGAGAATGGGGGCGTCTATAAGCTCTATGTATAAGATCTGCAAGGACTCGGGGGAGACAGGCGGGTGGCGGGCATTTCTATAGGGACCGAGGAGCTGGGAGGTCTATAAGGACCAGAGGGGCAGCAAGGACTGGGGTGGGGATGTCTATAAGGAATGGGGGAGTCTGGAGGATCTGAGAGGCTATAAGGACCAGAGCATCCATAGGGACTGAGGTGGCTGTCCTGGAGGAATATGGGATCTATAAGGGCCGTGAGAGCTATAAGGACCAGGGGGTCTGGGGGGACTTGGCGGGGGGTCTGTAAGGATGGGGGACAGCACAAGAGCCTGGGGGGGAAACAAGGACTGGGGAGGTCTATAGGAACAAGGCGGGGGGCATAAGGACTGAGGGATCTATAGGGACCAAGGCAGGATATAGGATTGGAAGATGTATAGGGGATGGGATGATAGGAGCAAAGCGGGCTCTAAGGATTGGTGGGGGGAGTCTATAGGGACTGGAGGGGACATGCGGGAAATAGGGGTTCTGGAGTGATTGGGGGTCTCTATAGGTACTGGGGGGCTCCATAGGGATCAGGGGCATAGAGGAGCTGGGGGGCTCTGTCGAGACCAGGGGCTCTATAGGGTTGGGGGGGCTGGGGTCACTGTA